GATAGAGCTGCGTCTTCGACTCCACCTGTCCCCAGGAGGGACTCAGTGGGTCTCCTGTGCTATGCCTTCACCCTGCCACTGTGGGCCCGAGAGAATGAAGCCACAGCCCTCAGGCACAGGAGAAGGTCTAGGCTGTGTGATTGTCACCTGTCTGTAGGTGCTGAGCACCCCCCGTGTGCCAGGCTGCGCCATAGGTGCTGGCCAAACAGCAGTGCAGGAGATCTGGGTGGGGAAAGAATGTTCTACACAGAGGGCCTGCACGTGCAGAGGCACTGAGGTGCAGATGAGCTCATCACGGTCCAGGAACCAGAAGGTCCGTACGGCTGGTGTGGGGTGACTGAGGAGTGGCAGCAGGGAAGACCAGGGTGGGATTGCTGCTGGGACCACACGACCTCGAGATGGCACTGAGAAGCCACTGGAACGTTTTAAACAGCAGAGGGATGTCGTCCAGTCTGAATGGTTTCAAGCTTGTCTCTCTGGAGGATGGATGGACCACGGGACGGACAGGAGCAGAAGCAGGGAGACAGGCAGCTACTGCACCAGAGTCCAGGGCAGAGCTGGTGGCTTGGACGAGAGTGAGGGTGACGAATGGCCCTTCCACGCTGCTGGGGTGCTCTGTGGCTCTGGGCCCAGCGGAGGAGGTAGGCCTCGTCTCAGGCGGCTTGCTCTCAGAAGTTCTTGCCTTCGGAAGGCTTCCACTGAGTTAACAGAACAGACCCGCAGCTGGTTCATTGGTTGGCTTGTCCCAGGGTCTGCAGCCACTGGCTAAAGGGCCTCCTCTACACACTGTCCTTTTGGAAACATGTTTCTATCTGGTAAACACACACAGGTGCACATGTGCACACACACACTGGGCACTTCCTGCCCTCGCTCTGCTCCCAGGCCTGGACCTCCGACCTCAGCTGGGCCTGCACCAGGCAGCCCCCAGCGCCCAGCGGCTCCCAGACAAGGGGTACCCAGCTGCCGTTCGGGGAGAAGCCGCAGGCAGCAGCCGAGAGCAGGGATCGCCGTCGGCCTCAGTCCTCGGCCTTCACTCGCCTCCGGAGGCCCTCTGTGACCCCTGTGAAGAAGTCAAGGCCCACTCATCTCTCCCAGCCGGGCACACCTGCGGCTCCCATGTGGCTTTCACAGAGCTGGCCTAGCCAGACGTATTGCCCCACCCGTGTGTTCCCTCCACCCGGTTAACAAGAACAGAACACGGAACTCAAGTCCACACACTTCTTCCTCTCTCCACCTCCTGAGCCTGGAGAGCAGATCCTGATGCCCTGTCCCCTCTGAGACCCCTGCCAGGCCTCTGACCCTCCAAGGCCATGCCCCTCCAGCGCTCACCCTCTGAGAACCCCTCTGAGACCCCTGTGATGCCCACCCTCTGAGAGCCCTACCTGTCTCGAGACCCCCAGACCCCAGCCCTGCAGACCCTGTCCGAGCCCTCCCTATTTTGGGGGCATAAGCAGCCAAGTGCTCTAACCACCAGAGGGCTTGATAAACGCTGCTGTACTTGGACCTGTGTGAGATGCAGGTGCCGGGGGGAGGGGGGGTGGACATCTGGTCCTATTTGGTCCAGATGCCAGATTCCGAGGAGGTGTGTGCAGCGAGACTGGACGAGTGGCTGGCCTGGCCGGGCCTACACACAGGCTGCGCTGGGGGCAGGTGCTCTTGTTTGCTGATTGTCCAATGGGCCATCTGTGCCAAGTCAGCAGAGTCAGATGCTGGGGCACGGCACAGGGAGAAGGCAGGCCGAGTCCACGCCCTGGGGCGACTGAGAGCCAGGGGAGGGGGCACCTGGTCGGCACAGACCCGTGGTGGTCACAGAGCTGGGCCCCACCTGGGGGCATGGCTTCAGGCGAGTTGCCTCACCATGCCGGCCTTCCTGTCATCACCCCTAAAGTGAGACTCATCCTCTCACCCCCTCCCACGGCTGCTGAGAACAACTAGGGGTCCAGATGGCCATGGGCCACAGCCCATGTCAGTGAGGACACAGTCTGTCCTGAGGTAGGAGACCACGAAACCAAGCAGGGGCGGGCTCTTAACTCCACGGGAGGACACACAGTGGAGCATTCAGCAGAGGGGACCACGGCCGGGGACCTGAGGGGGCGTCTGGGAGATGACGCACCCCACACAAGAAGTGCTGAGGGGACCGCGGCTGGGGACCTGAGGGCGCCTGGGAGATGACGCACCCCACATC